GTCTCTACGTGACATACTTAGTGGAAACCTCATAGAAAGCGGTGAGTGAGCAAAGCTGTGTTCAAAGTGATTGAAATCTTGGTTTGGGGTTTCTTTGTTTGGTTATGGAGGAGTCTGGCCGATGTGCAAAGCTGTGTTCAAAGTGATTGAAATCTTGGTTTGGAGTTTCTTTGTTTGGTTATGGAGGCGTCTGGCCGGGTGGTTCTATCAACTTGACCTTTCCAGGCTCTGAAGAAGGCGAAATCCGCCGAAACGTCAGCTTAATCGTGAACAAAGAATAGTAACACCTCGCCTTTGCTCAACAAAAATACGAAGAGAATGATTTAGTGGCACTCATTCGAGCCACTCGATGATCAACGGAGCGATAGTTGACACAAATTATTTTCTTCTACATAATCCGCACCACATAACACTGTGCGGAAAGCAGCACTTCCCGCATTCGACTCGTTTCTTCGCATCCATCATCCACGAAGATTTCCGAATTTCTTAATTGTGGGTTCTGCCGTTGCTCGACGAGTTCCATCTTCGCCATGGAAGTCGTTGAATGCTCGTCGAGTGGATTTTCCCTAAATTCCTACGATAGCCGTGTTAGGACGTTCCCATGTAGAGTAGGGACAATGAGCTGGTCCCGGACATGTGAAGTGTCACTGACCCGGATGGTGTGGTGGTGAAGTGCGCTGCTCCCGGTAAGGACAACAGCGCGGGTTCGTTCCCCACCGCATACACCTGCAGTCCGGAGTATTGCAAATATCTCAGCATTATATACGAGTTATATTTCGCAACATACCCTGCCATTACAAAGAAAAAGGCAGTAAATAAAAGGGTTAAGATTGTGAAGTCTCACTGTTTGGACCCCGAAGGGATGAGAAGCCAAGTAGGCCAGTGGCAGGGTCGAACCATCGCCTAAGTAGGTTGACCTCTCCGCATAGTGAACAGTATTATTTCCACTGCGCTACCCGCTCATCATTACATAATTCCCTAGCCCAGTAGGTGTTGTGTAAGTACTCATCGAACATCATATTATTCTTCGACATTTGTCAGGGATTTTGACCACCGAGTCAGTGGTCTGCATGTTTTGCGCGTAATACTACGTTTGATCCAATACCTAACGAATAATGTCAACCGGTTTTCGCTAGACACGTCACCTCACCCACACAATTTTCGTTCAAATCCTTCTCACTTGCATGATATGGTAACTCCAAGCATCGTTAATAACCTGCGCAATCACTCATCTCGCTTATGTAATGCCCAAGTTTCCAATACGCACGTTAAGACAGTGAGTTCTATGCGCTGCTCATTACATCTTGAATACTTATGAAAGCTTTTTAAGCATTCAACTTTGTTCTAGTCAACTCTGAGGTTACGCCGTTCATAACGATGGCTTCTCGACCCAGATACAAATGGTTACCAGTAGTCGGAAATATCCTTTCCGTTGAATGTGAGACATCAGGAAAGAATTCGTTTTTCATGAACATCGCCTTCTTGGGATTCGGTCAAAAACCAATCCTATGACAGCCGTTGTCAAAATTCGCCAGTATTTCTTCCTAATTGCTAATAGTTGATGTTATAAAACGTCATAAAAAATACACACACATACATACATACATACATACATACATACATACATACACACACAGGAAGTGAAGTTGCCGGTCATTAACATTCATTCCCAACTTGTCCCATCCCAGTGTTCGCGTGATGTTCTCAAGAGTATGTAAAAAACCTTATTGCCATGGTCTGGTTTTATCTAACCACTTTTATGTCAGCGTTCGAATCGCTGTATAGTGGCGAGATACTACATTAAAGGTGTTATGTAAATCACGGTGTTTCAGTAAAGATTCCTTGCCTATCCACAGCTTCCATGACAACTTGTCTGGGCTGAGTTGTAGGTCCTTATTAAATCGGCAGAAGTGAACCAAAACAGTCTCTCGTACCCTACCGACACTTCAATGAGCTTTTCTATCGTGTGACAGTGGTTTACAGTGTTAAATCCTTTTCGGTTACTCTATCTCTTCTACTGTACGTCAACCCTTCGCTATGTGTTGATCCTGTTCAAGCAAAGAATTTGCAGAGCAGAGAGAACAGGTGACAGTCGCCAACATTGTACAAGTTTACCTTCTCATACAACAATTACCGTGTCGATTTTACTTTCATTACCAACCTTGCATTCTGATAGGTAACGTGTGAAGAGCCAATCCAGCAATGACGACTGGAAGAAGGTTCTACAGATGTTTTTTGGGTTTAATCCTTCCCGACGACTGTTGAAAAGTCATCTACTAACGAAATATCATGCAGAACCACAATGATCCCAAGATATTTGCAAAACTCCTACCCGAGCCTAGATTCGAACCCATATTATCCTTTCAAGCAGCTCACATGTTACCCACTGCACCACTGAAGCCCCGTTTTGCCTTTCTCTCAGATAGTTTTTTTTACAATAACATTTAGAAGTTCGGAACGGAGAACTGCTGAGACAAATAGCCCTCCTTCTTGATTTGATATAGAGGTAGAAGGACGTAGCACTTAAAAGGTTAAAAGTAGAAGTTTTCCTGATTTCCATGATTGCCGTTCGAAAAGCAGAGACCTACGGTCTGGATGCCGGTGGGCGAGCATCATAGTATTGTAATAAGCGAAGTTTCGGTGGACGTTACAAAATCACTTTGGAGTTATTCAACACTAGCTGATACTACTGCTGTTCTCTCCTTAAAACATCCTCATAGCTTTTTTCAACAGAGTTTTGCAAGTTCGGATATGTGCTGGTATATATTTACGGCTAATAGAAATAAACGTCTCTTGGTTAGCTCCGAAGTCCAGGACCTTCAACAGTAACATGAAGGTGTTAGATGAGTTACTTTTTTTAAATAATATTGATGTCAGCGGTACCTTCCCAAAGGCTGCTTATGATCTTAGCAGATCCTGGTCTTGGAATTTCTCACGAAATGGGAACTTTTCTTTCCATTCTCTGGGAAAAAACACAATCTTGCGCGTAAGGAGCCGCTACCATGCGGAACTTTTAGAAAACGGCGACATTGGTTAGGAAAAACCTCTAATTTACTAGCATGTGGAATGTTTTGTATATATTTACGGCTGATAGAAATAAACGTCTCTTAGTTAGCTCCGAAGTCCGGAACTTTTAACAGTAAGTAATGTTCTTTAAAGTAGATCCCATGGACAACCTTGAGAGTTGGGCTACATGGAGTTACCTTGAATGGTCTTAGTCACTATGATAAATTCGGACAGTCGCTCGTCCTATTCATTCAACTGTAATCCGCTGGTTTAAATATGAAACCCTTTACACAGGCACCTGCGTTCTTTCGTGCTGTTGATATAGCTGATGATGACTATTAGGAGTGATCTTCATGGTAGAACTTTTCTATCTCTATGGAACGTTTTGAGCACGTCCTCATCTCTGTTTCCAGTTAGAGCGTAGACGATTTACATTATGAAAATCCGGTTCGTATATTCTCAGTTGTAAACGTTCGATTCGTGTCGTTAATTGTTCCAAGGAACGGTACTAATGATGTGGTCTACGCGAAACGAAACACGAACACGAAAGCAGCCAACTCTTATACTATCGCACGCATACAGAAACAGTTCTTTTTTCGTACTATAAAAGACTATATATGGTGACTTCCCTTCTCGGCCAATCTAACGACATCGTACTTAATCATCCTAGCCTTCATTATCAGCTATTCGAAAGGCAATCCAGATACCAGTGTTCTGGAGTTGTGACGGCAAATCCTCACTAAATGCCAGCCAACTTTACCGATTTTAATAGCCTACCTCCACTGTTCCTAGCAAGGTTGTCATTTTGGTCCTCTTTCGTGGCTAGGAAAATAAGATTTAATTGCTCTACTATTTGCCGACTTATATTCACAAGTAGCTTAGGACAGTCTTGCGCATGGGCTGTATATACACACGCACAGCTTGCCGATCTCTCCTAGTGGAGACGTAGAGCTCATTTCCCAGCCACACTTTATGCGAGACATTTAGCCCAATTGACTTTCAAAATAAATCTGCACACAGGTAAACAAAGCACGTACGTATACGTCTTTGTAAATAGAGCAGTTTACGTTAAACTCGTTAAACAAAACCAGTATTCTTTAAAAGATAACTGTCGACCAACTTTCCGAAAAGTGCGTTATCTGACAAATTCTTGAGTAAGAAATAAGCTAGCAACTAACTACTAACTGCAACTATAACAATACTATACTATAAAATAAGTGCTTTCAACTGCAAGTAACAACAATGTAAGCAAAGAATTATTTTTACATGCATATCCAAATTTTACGACGACAAAATTCTTATTTTTCTATCAGTCTAATGCCGACATGTGAATAAGATTTTTTGAAATAAACTCAACGTACATTTATCCGGAATTGGATTCGCCTGTGCGTGTAAAATGGCAGCCAGCACTGCGTCTGCATACATATCATTCACTGGGTTTGATTCCCAATCCAGTATGCAAATGGAAGCTAGAGAACACCATTGCAATGAAATGGCGCGCTGAAGTGAAAAAAAAGATTAGTGATTACCCATGATAAATGCAACAAACCTGTCGGTAACATCAACATGTATGGAAAACAGTTAGGGTTACTTAAATTGTGGAGCTTACACGAAGCTGATAATGAAGTTTATTTCGGCTAACATTTCGACGTCTCTATTTTCATCACACCCTATGATCCGGATCGATGGTCCACAATTAAGACTGGTCGGACCTTCAGGTCAAAGAACTGTGGACCATCGACTACTCGAATCATCGGCTCTGATGAAAACAAAGAAGTCGAAATGTTAGCCGAAATAAATATCTTTATCAACCTCGTGACTTAATACATGTTGATTACTTTGCTACCGAGGTTAAAAGAAGGCCTGCTTGGAAGCAGTTAGGAGTTTTTGGAGTTTTTTTTTGATAAGCTTCATCAAACTCCGTTCACACCACACACAGTTTTAAAGCACCGATATAGCTTTACACCTTTGTATTAATGAAGTCGAGCAATGAACGTGAAACGACGGAAACCGTCTGCAGCATCTATGCATTTCCTCAGAGAACCGTCAAAGTACAAAAAACGCTCGAAGTTGACCAATCTCTCAGAGACCATGCATTCAACTTCATTAGGCATCGTAGAGACAATTTATTGGATATTTAGTACATATAACGACTTGTAGTGGCCTACAGATGTATCAAGTCAATATTTCTCGGTATATTCTTCTATCGAGTTTTTAGTTCCCTTGAGAAATTTGGTGCCAATTTGCTAACCCCGGATAGGTGGAAGGCATGGTGACCCTTGAGCATAAGATGATACAAGGGATCGATGAATTTTGTATTGCAAAGCGAACAAAATCTTACAAAACCTGTCCACTGCAATAAACGCGTCCCTGAAGAACCGTTAACAGATATAATCAACGACAGCTATTTGAATATGTTAACAGAAGCATATCAGCCAACGGCTCTAAAACTTGCGAAAAGAAGCGAAAAGAAAATGATGTTTTATGGTCACATTAAGATGAACAAAAACTGAAAACGCGATAAATAACTGAGTTCGGTGATTGTACTCTCCACTGATTGTGCTCGACACATAGAATCAACTACTGTGATGAATACGGGACAAATGACGACGCTCTGCGACTAAACCAGTTATGGATCGTGCTTAACACATAAACTTAACTACCGCGACTTTTGAGTTCAGAAGAAGATATTATTGAAGCATCTAGCAAAGAGATCGACACTAATAAGATCTGCGCACGACACTAATCAATCGAGACACCTAGTCACAACACTTTCAACACTACACTACTTATTTGGGTGGCTCGCCTTCAGTGGCTGTGCAGGCAGCAGCAAAGTTTTCATTTTTTCGGGGTTTTCCTGATTTCGCTAATGCGGTTCTCTGGAGTCTCAAGGACATCAGCTTAATCAAAGTCCGCCTCAGGCCGTCATGACCACAGACAGCTCCCGCCTTTGTGGATCAGAGGGAAATTTCTCACCATGCGACTAATTTGATACCAGGACGGTGGTGGATCCTAGTGTTCGTCTACTCTTAGCTAAAGTTCTTGATGGAAACGCCGGATTCCTCCTCAGTTTGAAAGACCCTAACGAGGAGACGATACCCAGGAACATCTCCTAGTCATGATGAGGCGGCAAACCGTTGGGAGATCCAACATTCAAAATAAAGTGCATTCGTAAGAATTACGGGTTCTAGAGGAATAGCACTTCGATACCATGCGCATTTGGAGTTGAAAGTTAAAAACGCAATCATATCTGAACAACACATGCATGAAACTGAAAAAAACATACTGCATGGAAATGAAATTTTTTTCATGCAAGGAGAATTTCAAACATGCAAAAAAAAATAAAAAAAAACTTCAGCTTACACCAAATACGGAAAAAACATGCGTAGGCGTTGTAGTGTCATTAGGTTTCAGTTCGGCTGTCAACATGGCATCATCGTTTAGTTGATTCAAACTGTATAGAAGAAGGGATAAACTTCCTGAGTAATACACTGATTGCCGTTGAGATAGACGAGATGAAGAAAGATCGGTGAAAACTGAAACGAAATTTTGTGTAGCACATTTTTAGTATAAGAAAAAAGCACTAAAAAACACAAAACCTGTAAGATCCTTTGGGTCAACGATTTGGTAGTTGAAATTACGTTTAATCAAAATACCACTGACGATGTCCCCTACCTAGAAAGAAATCACAATTTTTCTGATATATTCGTACAAATCAGATATAAAGTACAAAATGAAGCTCTCGGCGTTCATCAATCCCTGAGAAATGCGCCATGCATTCGAATTCACTAAGCATCGTTGGAGGTGAATGAGTGCATATCTGGCAATTTGCAATGACTCGCAGTCGCCTACGGATGGACTTGGGGCGCGGGGATCGATTCCATGTGTATTGCATGGCATCCCCCACCACTACGCTACACGCGCCTTCAATAAGAAATAACACAGAAGAATTTGCTATCTCATACAAAAAAACAGAAACGCTGCCCAACATTTAACTTCTGATACCTTGTTTGATTTTACAGCTAACGAACCGACGACTTTCGCCTTTCGTACACCTTGGAATTGAAGGCGGACAGTGTCTGTATTACGGGGGTTGTGAATCTAGAAAATGATGCTGAACATAAGATTTAGATTTCAGGGATAAGAAAAAAGGCAGTTTGAAAAATTAGAAAATTACTCAGAATGGAATCCGTTAAAATACAATCCAACTAAATGAAACAAGAAAGTATCTATACTTCATAGATAACTCTTCACCTGCTGCCAACTAAAGACCACGAGGAATCTCTTGCTATTTTCTTACTGAATGTAAACATTACGGACCATAAAACCGAGTTTTGTGGAAAAGAATAACAAAATGTGGCAAAATACCTCTATTGACAGATTTTCTTCCTCAAAACTCCTCAGTATGCCTGCCTTTAATCGACTCATTTCGTGTGTCTCACCGTGGACAAGAACCTAAATTTAATTCAAAATTATTAAACGGCTAGAGCTCGAAAAAAGACTATAAGACTGGGAACAATTCAGAATCCCACCATATGAGGAGGCTTTAATTGCTTCACGAAGGCTAGAGTTTGCTGGAAATCTGTATGCGCAGAAAACGATATGTACCCGACCTCAAAAAAAGACTTCAATAAATTTTGTAGGTGTACCGACAAAAAAATCACCTGTAATCTCATTGGTAAACGATCACCATTCATGGCCACTATTTCTTCAGGCTCCGATAAAATATGCTGGAATTTCAAGAGTCATTCAAAACGATGACATAATGAAAGGATTCGAATGAATACGGCGTACAGTGCGGATAAAGCAAATTGCATAGAAAGGAAAAAAGAAGAAAAAAAGAAAAAAGAAAGAAGACCTTTGCGAGAGTTCCTTCAACACAGTAACCAGCAACAATGCATCCATTTTTCGCGTCCGTACACCATTTCTCGAATAGTTCTCTACTCAGTCCATTTTGCAGCATTCCAGGACTTGCAAGAACGACGCAAGGCCCTGAATCTTCAAAGTGCTCCAGTCCCTTAAAGTATTTGTATACCGAGTGTACAAAAACGAAACACAAAACCATTAGTAAACTAAAAGAATAGAAGTTTTTAACGCAAACAATTAGCTACTATTGATGAAAAACTAAAGAGATTACCTTCAGATTACTAACGTGCTTGAAAACAAATGGATTGTTGACGGCTATTTGCTTTTGAATTCTTTGATTCATTCCACTGACAAACGTTTGATAGACGGCCATACACTTTTTTGCCAAGGAAGAAGCGTCTATGTATGAGGATTTTGAATGACATTAAATTATAGGCAAAAAGCCTAATATCCTATTTCTAACGAGAAAAAAAGCCCAAAAAAAAAAGAAATTAGTTGATTAGATATTTACAATAGACAGGAATGTCGTATAATTCAGGGTGAGCATCCCAGTATTCGTCTAGAATAAGCAGAAGTTCCTGAGCTCTCCCGAGAGCAAAAGCTGGTATTAAACAACGTCCTCCTCTTCCGACTATATCATGAACCATTTGTGTGAATCGCTTCTCACGCTCGTCCCTTCCTTCATGTATTTGTGTGCCGTACGTGGATTCCTAAACAAGGAAATAAACTAAACAAATTTGCTGATTAACCCAGTAAGTCTTACAGATTTCAAGAATCAATTTTGAAAAAATGCTTCGAAATGGGATAAGTTTCTCCGAGCAAAAGTATGCACCATTTTGCTATACGAGCTTTTGTAATCCTTAAGACAACCAGAATTACTTCTCATATAAGGCTAATGGTTTACTATAGTGCAAACCATTCAAATGCAAGCTGAAATTCTCTGAAATACCAAACTGTGCACTAGAAAGCAATCTATGTAGTGATCGAAATTTTCCAAAGGTGCTATTTTAGTGGAATAGAGCGATGGAAGGAAGGAAGGTAAAAAAAATCCATAACCGAAGAGTCCTTTCTAAATGATAATTAGCTTTTAATAAACATCATTTCTTTTTTAAAGTTCAGTCCAACTGAAAACCGAAGTTTCCACATGAACTTTCTAAATCAGTCAGTATTCGTTCAACATGGTTAGCCGATGATGCCACAAGTGTGATGGCCATCGGCATTTGCAGCTTTAGGTGATGAAGCAGTTCCACGGCACATGTGATATTTACTACATACGAATAATGATCTTCAACTCAGAACCAAAATAATACCCGCCTGTGTTGTGCACCTACCATGTGCTACCGTAGCCGTTGGAGAGTTCTTGATGAAAGGATTCTATAGTTCCTACCATTTATCAACAATTTTACAGAACTTTTTAAATCCCCGGCTTTTTTGCACTATTAAAGAGGTGCTGGATAAGCATGTCATTTCCTTTATAGATGTTTTCGACAAAGGTATTTTATCAAAACCTGGTCAAGGAGGTGAACTAACCCTGTTTACTACGATACTGGAGATTGCGGTCTTTAATTTTTCTGTTGTCCTTCTTCAGTGAAAAAAGTATTACATGAAGAACTCGATTCTACGATCCCGTATAGAGCTGTGATGCAACAATGACATCAACTACGCAAAATCTTTGATTCACTACTACGTGATCTTGATAGTCTCCAATCCATGATTCCAACGGCAGCCGGTCTTCATTAGAATCCAGACGTTATTCGCCCTTTTCATTTCATTCTATCCGTGACTCTTGGGATGAAACTCTTCAGACCATCTCCTAGCGCCAATCTTGACGTAAAACATGATAAAGATGACACTGAGGTATGAAGAACGTTCTTGTAGAACTTCAACTCGATATAAAATAATTTGATTTCATCTTCACCGCAGGCTGGTGTTGGCAATCAAGTAACCAACACCAACGGTAAAGCTTGTATTGATGAGAATACCAGCGCGATTGACTACTCTACTACCAGGTTTTCCAAGGAATACTTCCCCGTATCATAAGCGGCGCCTAATGAGCAGTTCCTTATCCTGTGACGTCATTTGTGATGTTTCTCTCATAATCAGGTACAATCTCCATATTCGCGTCTTTTGCAGTGCTATGCTGTCATGTCAGCGGAATGAGACTCTGCATTTCCAATGCTTTCTGAACGAGTAGGTGGACACATGTCCCTTGCCAGACTTTGCCAAAGTAAAAGAGCAGCTCATTGGTTTGACACAACTCTGAACGATTTTCCACACACTTCACATTCGCTTGTGTGTAAATTTTTGGCCAAGGACCTATTTTACCTTTTGTGAAAGCGAAATTAGCAACATTTTTTTGAATCAATCGCGTAAATTCATGCTGGAGAGCACACAAGTTTAAAAAAAAGCTCTAAGCCTTGTGCACAGAATAATGCATAAGACTGCAGAATAAAAATTGAAGGTACATCTTGTAGTAACTCCCAAGTCGGACTTTCTATTAACCTCGGCATTGATTGAACAATTCTTTCCACTTCTGTTCAGTAAACACGAGGTGCTATTCCACTTCCCCACTCACGTAAAAGCTGACATTTCGGCGTATTTCGTCTTCCGAAAGGAAAGGAAGGAAGGGAAAGAAAGTAAGGCGAAATCCGCCGAAATGTCAGTTTTTACTGAGTGGGGAAGTGGAATAGCACCTCGTGTTTGCTGAACAGAAGTGGAAAAAATTGAAGGATTTCGCGCCCAAATATAAGCAATAAAACACTGCACTTAGCAAAATATACAGAAACAAAAAAAAAGAGACAAACACGAAACACTCATATTCAGTTCAGGTTTTAGCACAAAAAATTAAACATATGTGAGATATCTAAGGACGTCCTTCATAGAAGGATCACATGGCGGTTGGTCACGAGGCAATGTGGCGTGACCCAGGTGGCGTACAGGGAGTTAGTCGCGGACGAAAAGCGACTTTATTTATCTCTGAGACGCAGGTGAATTCAGGGTATGGAATCGCTGTTTCTCCTGTACCGATTTGGCTGATACCTTCTGTGTTTACGAAGGCGTATTCATGCGTGCATGGGTGGGTGTGTTCTCATTTATGCGAATTCTATTCTACAAGTTAGTTCAGCAAAAAGCAAAAGTCCGAAACCAAGTTACAGGGAAGAATATGGGAGTGCTCAATGATCTATACCTACAATGTACACACACTTGCATCTGGGTCCTTGATAGACGACTTAATCATGCAGGCAAGAAGGATGAAGGGTGACATCATCAGACTGGTCAAGACGAGAAAAAGCCGTCGACTCAACACCATTTATGACACCAGAGAACTGTTCCTCGGAACATGCGATAATAGAGGAGTCAGTGACGTCGGCGTTCTCCTCAACACGAGTTTGGCCAAGAACATCGATTCATTCGAACAACTAATAACACGAATCGCACGTCTTTGAGGTTATCATTGGAGACTTTAACGCTCCAACTGGACCCAGAGGAATGTCTGAAGAACGTCAAGTTGGGACCCATGGATTAGAATGGAGCGAATAGGGTGAGCTGCAGTCTGAGTTTATTGTGATGACGAAGACCATTCATAGTAATTCGAAATTCCAGAAGCCCCACCTCAACGCTGGACGTTGGAGTCTACCAGGGGAGATTACCATAACAAAATAGACTATCTTGGCAAGTCGAAAGCCCGCCCTAATCGATATCGCTGTTGTCTCATACTTCTTCACAGGATCACAAGCTATAGGCCACCGCCGACTCACGTTCGAGCTTGCAAAACATTGCAGACAGGCGATAAAAGACCTTAAAAACAGAACAGCAGTAGTTATGGTCGAAGTTGCAAACGTTGGGAAAAGCTTTTACAAAGCCCACCGAAGCTTTGCCAACTATGAAACCGAGATTCATGCATTCATGCATTGAGATGTGCATTCTGACGCACAGACCAAATAGTTCAGCTTCGAGAAAGACAATGGAGAAAATGCTCCACGATTACCACTAAGATCTTTTCGACACCTTAGTCCTCCTGCTCTCATATGAAATAAAGCAGATGCATATGCTGTCCAAGCAGTTCTCCGTATCGAAATCCGACATGTTATTTTGTTGGTGAAAAATCGAAAAGCACCAGGTCCGGATAGGATAACATGAGAACACCTGAAAAGGCTTCCGCCAGTCGCCATAAACGCAGTGCCCCGGCTCTTCACACGTCACCTGTCTGAATGCATGGTCCCCGCTCAATGAAAGACCAGCAAGACCGTGCTATTGTTCAAGAAGGGTGCCACTCGAGCTATCCTACACAGGAATGACAGAACACGAGACCAAGGACAGCTATGTAAATAAGGAGGATTTCGAAATGGATCCAGTACGATGGACCACATCCACACGATAACAAAACTCACTGAAATCGCGAGAGTAGAAAAGGCCGCTGTGTCTCACTTTCATCGATTTAAAGAAGGCCTTTGATTCAACTAAGATACAAGCAGTCATAGAAGCTCTGGAAAGTCAGGGTCTCCCTACTCAGTACATAAGGGTTCTTCGTGAGCTGTATAAAAAATCCACAACCAAAACATCACAATTATACAACGATATTAACATCGATGTCAAAAGAGTGGTTAGGCAAGGCGATACCATTTCGCCGAAATTATTTACCAACACCCCCAAGAACGCCATGCGAGCACTGGAATGGAACAGGGAGGTGAAAATCGATGGCTTGTAATTACACCATCTTCGATTTGCTGGTATCATCGTTCTTATAACACAAAGCATTAGCCAGGCGGAACAAGTGTTTGCCGAGGTAAAGACAGTGGAGGAATTGATCTTCGACTAAATCTCATAAAACCATATTCATGAAGAACGGATTGGTTTCGTATGGCCTATTCACGCTCAGCAGTATGAGTATCTCCGAATTCCACGTCTATCTAGGTAGTGAAATCAACATGACAAACGAGTTAGCTCACCAGTTGAGCAGCAGGAAACAAGCGCCGTTCAACAACATCGAGGACGTAGTGAAGAGGACAAAGAGCACCTTAGCCCGTGCCCACCTTTTCGACTCGACGATTGTTCATGAACTAACATATGCGTCAGAAACCTGGTCGCTACGTAAGCAAGATGAAGGATCACTGAGCGTTGTTGATCACGCAGTTGAAGCGACGATGCCAGAAGTATTCGGTGTCACAAAAGTGGGAGAAAGGATTCGAAGTTTCAACCAACGTAGTCGATCAAAAATCAAAGACACCATTCTGTACGCTAAATTGTCGAAGATAGAGTGGGCCCGACAGATAATGCGTATGAACGTTAACCGATAGACAAGAGTCGTTGGTGACTAGATTCCCCTGGATATCCAGCGTCCTGAAGGAAGACTTACCGAGCCAACGGTCAGACTTCTTCGCGAAAAGCCTAGAAGAAAGATATCACACTCAACGAGTCCCTAGAGCGAGCAGAACCTACCGGGCTATACATGCAGGCGACAGGAATAAATGAAGATTTATTGGCGCCCTCTCGCGTCATTCGACGATAAACTGGACGGCAGGTGATACAGGTGAGGTGGTATGATAAATATGAGACTAAATATATTTTACAAATGTATATGCATACACGTGAATAAACATATATATATGTACATATATACACATGTACATGTGTATATATATGCGCATATACATATATATATTTATTTATGGGAAAGTAACACACCGAAATAAGAACATCAGGTGTAATTGTTGGCAATTCAGCGGCACAAAGATGACGGTCTTCCAACCTCGAAAAATCACCTGTGTACAAAGCTCGCACGCCTAAAATATAAATTCCTGCTTATTCAGAAAACAACTAAGAAGATATAACTCGTACATAATGCTGAGATATTTGCAAAACTCCGGACCGCAGGTGTATGCGGTGGGCAACGAACGCGCGCTGTTGTCCATTCAGAGGAGTAGCGCACTTCACCACCATACCATCCGCGTCCTTCGTTTTGCCTGTCTCTTAGCTAGTTCTAAGAAGATAATTAAATTTGTATAAAACCAACCAGCTATTTCGATCATGAACATACAAGCTCCCAATACGTGACCAGCAACATAGGGCCAAAATCGAATGCCGTTAACCTCTTTCTGTTCATGGAAATCTATTACCTGAATACAAAGGACGTATAGAAAGAAACTTCGGAATTACAAACAGTCAAAAGGAAAAAGAAGTCTGTTAAAAAGACCTCAATTTTCTCCATACTCCTTTCCAAATCTTCATCTGTGTAAAGCATACCACGATCACTTCCGCCCCCACACTTTGCCACCTAAAAATAGGATGAATTCTTCCAGAAGAAAAGTTAGAATCACGTACTTCAGACATGAATTTCGAGAAGAAAATTCTTGAATTCAAAACCGCAAACGCGATTACAACATGAAGCAAACCTTGATGTAGTCTCCAAGAAGCATTCTGTAGATTGCCTTAGTCGCATGAGTCATGAAGCACTTTCCTTGGAATCCAGTCTTTTCCAGGAGCCATGGAAGAGCACCGCAATGATCGAGATGGAAGTGAGTGATCTAGAAACTTCGACGTAATAGTTCATAATAAAAAACTCCCCCCACCCCATGAATTTCACACTCTTTAGTATATGAGGGACGAAATAACCCAAATGGAATTGAAAGCCAGATTATAAATATGACGGGCTGAATTTAGACTTCGACAAAGGACTTTCTAAAGGATCTTTAATATACTTCAATATACTTCATTTCGAAGAAATTATATGCGTAAAAGATTCCAGGCTTAAAATTAGAGCAAACACCTTATGCTTACGGCCTAGTGTTCTTGTCATGCAAAGGAATATCGATGAATTTTGTACAAAGACGCAGAGTTAGACTGCGGTATGACCGCAGCTTTGAAAAAGACTAACATTTCGAAATATGCTCCTCTAGGAATCCACTCGCGATGTATCACCTGAATGGAAAGAACTAGAGAGGTATAGCTTCTCCGAACCCCAACTGCCGTGATATGTCCGGTAAGCTGTCATTTTTTTTATTTCATATTACCCGTCTTCACATCTACAGTGCAGATCCCAAAACTCATTGCATTCGATTTATTTTCTCTCATCCACCGCTCACTAAAGCCTTAAACACTTTAAGTATGGCTTCGGCTGGTGCCTCACAATTTTCATTTCATCTTGACGTTGAATGCTGGTCGAATCGATTCTCCCTGGATTCCTGAGATAAACTGGTCTAGAGCGTTTCCAATTGAACTTCAAGGTGATTTTTTCCCGATCAAGCCAGATACAAATTTCCCGACTCCGGAAGGATGAGAGGCTTGGTTGGTCCGGAGCGGAATCGAACTAGCACCATGCTCGTCATGGCGGACTTCACTACTATTGTGCTATCCACCTCTACGGTTATTATTAATCTCTTAAATCCCAGAGTCATAACAACTTGTGCGCAGTGACTAAATCTTAGTCGTTAAGATTTTACAAAAATTCGACTAATTCCTCACAATAATCATGTGTTATAAAGATCTTTCACTATACTTAGCCGACATTCTTATTCTTTCGCATAAACTTGAAAACGTTTATTTTCTTGTGCATCTATCCCTAAATATATGTGTAAAACTTCTTTTCTTCGCTTATACACTTTCTAACTGTAACTCCCAATTTAAAACACCCTTTTTAATAAACAAGGTTAACGCTTGGTAAATACTGGCCGAAAAATGGCATACTCACCAACAACAAATCAATCTCTTCAATGTCTATAAAATCAACAAATGGGAGAGCATCTACACCATGCATCCCTGGATGAACTCCGCAGTCCAACTAAACAAAAACCAAGAAACATGAACAAGATAATCTCAACAAGCTAAACATTTAGAAAACCATTCCAGTTCGCTTACCAGTATTTTTTTCCCTTTGAAATGTAATAGATGACAAGATCGTCCTACTTCCTGACCAGAACCACTGAAAGCTGTGCATTAGTACTATGGTAAAGATGAAGATAAGTTGAAAATCTCTCACAGTGGAGTGAAACACATGATGTCCGAACTAGCACCACCATCCTCATCCATTTCTCTACGAAGCTACTACCTCAACATATCACAGATCTTCCAGCTCCATAGCTATATGTGATGTAAGCATACGTTTTCATAAAGAAAGCAGGCTTTAATGCTTAGGTAATGTAAGAACAAAAGTGAAATGTAAACAGAGTATGCCCAAGTCAACTCCTAGCTCAACAATGTCCAAGTATATTATAAGTAAAGACATATGTAAAGATAATAAATGTGAAGACAAACATTTATTAACTAAAATAACATTCACATGTTACAGCGAACAAGCGACAAGGAACAAAACCTTAACACTGCTTAACATTTAATGTGTACATAACTGAGCTCCTATTTGGAAATCGGTGCCTAGAAAAACTGTTTAAAAGCGTTTTACATATCCCACGACCAACTTTCTGTTATTTTTTACATTCATTCACAAGAAGTATGGAGATAAAACACTTCACACACAAACCTTGGGAAAAAATAACTTAGTATAAAACTTATGATTTCTCTATAAACCTAATTAATTAACTTAGTAAAACATGTAAAAAAAGAGTCTGCACAGAGAGCAGCACTACAGCCCATAGATAAAGATACCCAAAACAGAAGTTTTGAAAGGAAAATACCCATTCCTACCTGTACAAGGATTTATAAACGAAAAGCACCTACAAATTACCTAAGACGTAATATGTGTTGTACGCAAAAAAGAGAAAAGGAGGTTGCTTTTAAGCATACCCTTTTAGGTTTCATAGACCGCAAATCCGCCTTTCATTGCTGTTATAATTAAGAATGTAAGGCGCTTAAACGGTAGACACTATAAAAACGAGCAACATGCACTTGCATTCATTCCTTAGGAGGCAATAATATTGGACCACTTTCTGCGATGTGTGGAGAGTTGAATCGTCGAGAACCGTCATCACTACCCGAACCATTCATAACGCGACTTGTTTCAGTAGCTGAAATGGCAGGTTTTCCAATGAATGTAAAGTCTGCACAATTCACCTATACCATTTTTATCATCAGCAATTTTAGTTAACAAACAGCAGCTTAAGCAAAGACTAGTACACTTCTTCTAGCTTCGGCGCTTCTGAAAACCATCCAATGGGCTTCGCTCGATAGGGACATACGAAAACGCTTATGCTTTCAATATCAAACTTATTTTGAATATTTCTGCCTAGATGGTATTTACAGCGATCTTCACTGCACTCAATGCCATAAGTTTATTCTTAGTTGAACACTTAAGCAGTGAATCTCGTAGCGGTACGGACCCATTTTATGCATCGCATTCTAATATCCAGGAACAACCTAACAATAGCATGAGGCCCTTAAACAATATAAGCGTCCGTGAAATTCGTAAACAAAACAGGTATTCCCTGCAAAAAACTTACATGAATGGTGAGCTTGTTGTGTACTGTTTGACGGATTTAACTGCGCCTAAACCAAGTGATTAGTTGGATCGACAGCAAGTATGGCAGCGTTTGACCAGGAAAAACCATTCACAAAGCTACTTGGAACCGAAACTAAAGGGCGGTAAACATACAGGATTTTGTTTAAATTATTCAAAGCCAAACCATTTGGTGACTTCCAATCTGCGATCGCCTTTGTTGTACATGTTTCTGCTGTAAGATTTGCGCACTTTGCTGAGATCCCATCTAAAATTATGTTATTGACAAAGAAAATATTTTACCGTTAGAGCAAACAATACTGTTAATTCCTCATCATTGTTAACAAAAAATTGAACTTCTGTGTCGAGCTCCAATTCATCTCGCATGTTCCAATTCTCAATGTGTCCCTAAGTGCTATATTACTTATAACTTATGTACTTCTCGATCGGCAACTTACAGTGATTTTCGTCTTCTAATTAGTGGAATTTTGCACCTAATGCAACTAATTTTGTCAGCTTCAAAAGTCGCTCGCAATAACGTCGCCCTTAGCTCCCTCAGATTTTAAATTTTAGACCCATTTTATGACTTCACACTTCGTATTCTTTTCGCCTAAGTCTAGTTCCTTTAATAAAATCCTCTCCAGGAAACGAGCTAAAACCAGCATTCGGTGGTTCTACCAAGCAGAATTTTCCGTTTCTTTCAATGGAGTCAAACGTGGTTTTAATGCAGTCTAAACGGTTCAAAATACTAGCGAAGTATGGGAGTAAGGAAGTGTCAAAAGAACGCACTGCGCAACGCTTGCACCAAAGATTACGTCGCTGCAAAATCGACCTTGAAGATGATGAAAGTCATTGAGGTCTTTCTGCTGTCAATCACGATGAATTGAAGGTGTAAGAGAACTTATAAGAGAACTCGGTGTAAGCAGGTCAACTGTTTCGCAGCACTTAAAGAACATTGGAAAGACAAAAAAGATCGATAAAGATACTGTACGAATTAAATAGTCTTTGTTCACGATATCGCGTGGCCTCAAGTGACATTACTGACGCTGCAAATATTGAACGAACTGGACTCTGAAACTCGGTGTCGACAAGTCAACCAATACTTACTTGGATAATTGAATGGCCCGTCTCCACTGGTTGTGCGGCCGCCAACATAATTTCCATTTGTTTCTCTCTCTCTCTCTCGCAAACCTCGTCCAAGGTGGTAGTCTGCTTCGAATACTGCGATGTCCACGTGGCTTATCTCCGTAATATTGAAGACTTGGTCATCTGCGAGTTCAGAGGGTTAACGTTAGCCACGGTCACGTACGCCTACCATTTGGGTGGTCTTCCAAGAAAACGCTTCTGTATTCTCTTGGAGTTTACCCCACTGTTGTTTTCGTCCGTCTTTCATCTGTTCCTCTTACTAAGTGACCGGCCCATCTGTGTTCCGCCATTGATTTACATTCTCCTGGATCCCAAAGATGGAAATGGGTTTGAAGATCCGAACTGCACATTCCGCCTAGACGTTGTGAGTGCCGAATAAGTTTCAGAAGACATCGCTCAAGCGCTTCTCTATGGGTGGTGAGCAGATTCCTTGACGGCGTTGAAGTATCGATCCACGTCTGTGCTGCATAACAGAGCACTCGGAGGACTAATGAAGTACAAAGGTGAGCGCAGAGGTTTGGTTCCGTTAGTTGCTCGGTGGCCTCTTTGAGTGACCCTAATGCGGCCCGTGCGCTCCCCTTCTTTTGTCTAATTCCTCCATCATGTTGTACTCTAGGTTTACTGAACGTCCAAGGTGATATCTGCAGTAAACAAATTATCCAGTTCGATTTATTCACCTTCACACCTCAGGGGTTCTTCATGAGCTGGGTCTTCGTCCTCTTTATGCGCTTTATGATCTTTCTTCCCGATCCGTTGTGTTCATTGAAGAGTTTCTGCTTTACTAGCACTTCTCAAAAAAAATGACGATGCTATCCGCGAAAAGAAGATATGATAGGAATTTTGAAAATATATGGCATCCTCGTCCCAATCGAGTTACTTCGTTATGCACTATAATGCGGCAGTAAACGGCTTTAGTGATGTGGTGCCGATTTGTCGAACTCCTTTTCCTATGGGAATGGTGAAAAGTCGAAAAAGCTGTATAACTGTGTTGCATTTTCGATAATAGTTTTCTATTGTTTGTATATAGGATGGGTCCACTTCTTGGTCGACCAGCACTGATAGGATTGCATTCGTTCAACGCTTTCAAACGCTTTTTCAAAGTCGGCAAAGGTAGTCCCGACAGAATTCTACGACCAGTGATACAATATGGATGTGGTCCACGGAACTGTATCCCTGTCGTAATCCTTCCTACTCAACTTGTTATGCCTCATCCAAGGTCTTCAATATTCGCAAAAGGATAACGTTCGTGAACAGCTTGTAGAGTACACTAAACAAACATGGTGGATGGTAGCTGCAAAGATCTCTTCGGTCACCACTCTTTGGTAGGATAACCGTGTCCGAGGTCCTCCACTGGTTTAATTTTCTCTATCTGAAAGCAAGATGTCACATGGGTTATGAAAAGTAAACGTAATTTGTGGCCGTCAGTTATAAGGAAATCGGCGGTGATGTTGTCGGATTCTGGAGCTCTGCTTCTCCTCGTGCTTTCTATCCCGACTCGAACTTCACATGCTGTAATCTTGAGCGGTTTTCCATCACTAGTGCTTTATGGTCTGTGATAAGGTTTGTAGAGAGGGAAAGATTGATATAGTACTTTTCCGTTATAAATTCCATACCATGGCAGGATGTGGTCATGGTCCTATCTTCGTTCATCAGGGCAGATAACGGAACATTATTGTCAAAAAGATTCCGCAGACACTTCCTCAGACTAGATCGTTTTTGAGCTGCTTCCAACAACTTTTTTTTGCCTTTACCAATGCAAACCCTCCTGGAGAGATCTCCTACATCTCGTACTTATTATCAGCCTTATAAGGCGTGTTGCAGTAGGACAGAGCTTCAGTTTCCTCTTCTCAAGCAAATCTTTAGTGGTAATGGAGATGCGGTCTGAAAACTTCTTGTTTGAGGAACTGAGGCGAGTTTGGCATAAGTGTTAAGTCGTTCGACAAGCAGCTCGTAGTGCTGGCCGAGATCTTACCTTATCTGCCAGTCATATGAGGACAGCATTTTATTGAGAACACCCTCGTTAACACGACTAGTTTTGTTTTTCTTGGACAATAAGAGGAGTACATCCACAATTTATGAACCAATCGAATCTTCGCAAGAAGAAAGCCGTGATAAGATCCAGTACAGAACCCCAGTACCGCCAAGTTGTCTAAAAGGTACCATTGCTGTTTATGAGAATATGATCGATCTTTCCACCAGTCGCACCGTTAGCAGACTCCCATGTCCATAAGCGAATTTCTCTGTTCTCGAAAAATGAATGCCAATGAAAGAGACGTGCTGTGAACAGGAGTTCCTCAGGATATTCTTAATAACTCGAAAGACCGACTTTCTATAAACCTCGGCATAGATAGTTGATATATTTATTTATGTGATCTTATAAACTGATCTTCTTAAGCTGACGCGAGGTTGGTACAGGTCTTCGTTGTTGTTGTCGTTGTTTTTGATGTTATTGATCGATGGCTAACGTTTCGGCGACTTCGCCTTCCTCAGAACC